GCTTCCGTCGAGCCGCGGGGCTCCAGACCGGATTACGCCAAGATTTCCGGTGGATTCGGTGAAGCAGAGTTTGCTATGCCTTACGATTAGTTGATTTCCAGAGGGGAGAAGGAGATGAAGGCTTCTCCTGCAGCTCGGTATGTTCCATTTTTTCCTTCCCTCGACGCCTCTTAGATGTTCGTTCTTTCTCTTTCGTAGATGAACTTCATCGGGGAATCGGACTGGTAGAGCTAAGGAACAGAGATGATAGAGACGTTTGATTGTGTCTGCTTAGTGCTAATGACCCGAGAGTGTCTATCGTTACTTGAATGCCTTAGCTATAAGAAATCTGGAATTTCGGTCATCCATTATCACCAACTTCGGCAGCGTCCCCCTGCCGGCGAGGCTCCGGAGCCGGTTGGGGGAATAGATTTTGTTTTTTCAATTTTGCATTATTTTATTTTATTTTTTGTGATAATAAGGTGGAATTTTTAAAATATTAATTTTTATTTTTTTAATTTCCACGTTATTTAGTTAACGGTCAACTATGATAGTTGACTGCCACATTGGCAAAATTTAACGGAGACTAACAGAGAGTGACCAAATTTGAACTGTTGAACTAATTTAAGTGAATATGGATGGAATAAAGTAATTCTAATGGCTAACGTGAACTTTACTAGTAATTCAAGTGACTAAACTTGCAATTTAGCTTTTATATTAGTTATTATAGTATGAGTCCGTCATAATGTGTCATCTTATCTTAAAATATATTAAAGCGGTTTAGAAAATCGACCCCCACCACGTCAGCCTCCCTGGCTTCTCCGCGATTTTCGGTATTATTGAATTTTTCTTTTATTTTTTAATGTTTTCCTCTTCCTAGCATAGCGGTTTCTTTTTATCTCTTTTGTTCCTTTTTCTTCTCCGTTTGATTACCCACTGCCTACTATTTGCACAGGCTTCTTTCTTTTTAAGAATTCTTCCTCCACGTGTTTCTTTCTTTTTCTTTTCTCCATTCCTTTTGGTTCCTAAGAGACGAGAGATAATTTATTATTATTGTTTATGATAATTAGGTCACAATAATTAATATTATATACTCATTCAAATAATAATATTTTTCTCTATATTATTCTAATAAATATTTGTTTTTCGAGTACCTACAGGTAATATTTCTATAAAAAATAATTATAAGTTATTGAATTTTTTCCATTTATTACGATTAGTGTATCCACGTAGGCTATAGAACCTTTACATTCATTCAAGATTTTCTCTTATGAACATCATCTCGCTCATTTTCATAAACCATGGCGTCATTTTCATTTAGAGACTCAATCTAACTTCCCTCGAGATTTCTAATCCGCTACATCAGTTGGATTTCCACTCGCTAGCTGACGACCGTTAAATAACCTTGACTTTAAACGGTCGGATTAGGCATCATATTCAATTTCATAGATTGACCAGAGTTTAAACCAAAAGACAACATGACATGCCCACCAAATTTTCCTATTAAGATGACTGTCCTTCCATGTTTACGGAAAGTTGATATGCATGTTTTCCCTCTGTTTCTTGGATCTAGGAGATGAATTTTGCGTTCTAACTTATTAAGAGGGGATATAAACTTTTGATGACTCTATTTGACATTTTTTACAAAAACTCTGCCATGTTTCGAAACATCTTCAGTGCTTGCCTCTGTTGTCTTCAACTTGTTGCTGCTGCTGTGAAGTAATTAATTGGTTTATGGATGCTATGAAGTGTGAACTAATGAATTGTTGTAGGACTGGTAATTTTTCATATGGTGCTTATCAGGGGGAAACTATAATGCTGCTGTGAATGGATTATGAGAAAAGCAAAATTCAATGGGGTTGCAGCAGCTAGCATGAATACACATCAAATCTCTAATATCCCGTTTCTTTTAACTAATGAAGAGAAATTGTAGCATTCCTTCGTCAACCCTTCCAATGGAGGGTTTTGGATTCAGCGATGCCAGCAGTGCGGTGATGTAGAAGAGGAGCAATACATTAGTTTCTATTCTACCAAATCGATAAATGAAGAAAGCACCCATATTCATTCACCTATATAATAGTGGTGGCTTCCTCTGTAAAACCCAAATCCATAATTGATCTTTCTAGTGGCTCTACTCTATTGGAATGGGCTGCGAGTATGGACTTATTAGGGTCAGATGAAGGGAGGCATTTTAGTATGCTCTATAGCATTGATGCTTTAATATGTTTATAGCCATTAGATGTTATAAAATATTGTGAGCCATTAGATCTTGTTGAATTAATTAATTTTTTATTTATTTTGATATTGGTTACTTGTTGCACCGGTTGACAAGTTTGATAATATTAAAAAAATCAAATCAAAATAGGGAAAGGGTTGAGCTTCTCCGTTCCTATTCTCGGTTCCTATTCTTCATTTCAATTATCTTCGCCTGCTACTACCATTCCAATTCTCTTCAACTGCGGCGAGCCGGATTCTGACGACGAAGGTGAAGGCGACGAGCAGGGGGTGACGACGAGAAGAAGAAGCTCGTCGATTGCAGCATCTCGTCGACTGCGACGAGCCGTTTTTTGATTACGATAGTGAAGGCAGCGAGCAGGGGGGGTCGACGAGAAGAAGAATCTCGTCGATTGCAACATCTCTTTATCGATTGTGTTTCGCGGAAAAGGGGATCGCAGCATCCCGTCTCCGCCATTAGCTCCTCCACCGCAGCATCACACACCGAGTCTCTCCATTCCTCCTACAACACACACCGAGTCTTCTTCTTGCATTTTCCGGTTAGTATACCTATGGTTCTACAATTTTATTCAAAATTTGAATTCTAGGATTTCAAAGTTTGAAAAATTGGGGATGTTCTAGATTTACAAATTTAGGTAGGGGGATTGAAATTCCATGCTCTTTTTAGGTTAATGAACATGTTTCTGTAGAGCCGGGGATTTGGGATTGAAATTCCATGCTTCTTTAGCTTTATACTTTTGTTTTGTGCTGTTGGGATTGAAATTCACACTTTGGTCTGTGCTACTGGGATTTCTAGGGTTCTTCTTGCGAAATAGACAGTGCTTTTTTATTTCTCTTCTTCCTCCTTCGTGTAATTGTTGCTTAATTTGGGGTTTACACATAATGCTGAAGGATGTGGTTTATATATTACGTGTGTTTGCAAAGTAAAACGGATTGAATCAATTCCATTACTTAGAGGGCTGGGATGAATTCAACTTCATTTTCTCTCCTATGTTTCTCAATTACTTTATCCATAAGCGGCTCATAGTTAGTAATAGCATCAAGAGTTAGCATGTATCAACATTAGTTAGTAGCAGTATTAGTGAACAACAACATCAAGAGTTAGTCATAGCAGTACAAGTCAGCAGCACCATAAAGAGCTAGAAGTAGTAGCCATTAGCATAATAGTAGTTTTGCTATGAACTGTATTTCAGTGATGTGAAATAATTTAGTGATATGTAGTTGAACATGACAGAGATTCCCTTTTGTGCAATTGCTATGAGATGTAATTCGGTGGTGTTGGACTTGTTAGGCTGGAAGAATGAAACATCCTTTGTATGATTTGATCCTATGTGAAGTATCCTTGAATTCTGAAGGCGCCGGAGACTCTTTTACTAGGGGAAGACTAAGAAGGAATCAAAGACTCGAAAGCCCAATCGAAAACGACGAGTCAACTGGCGCCGGGCATGAGAACTTCTGCAATAGCGAGAATTGGGTGATAAAGCATTCGATTTCCAATTTGAAACGACGACTCAGTCATTCATTCAAGGTAAGTGGCTGAAATTCTTACCCCCCTTTGATAAACATTCAATTTCTGACATGGATTCAAGTTAGTTTGGGTTAAATATCCCTCTAGCTTCTAGAGCATCTCTTGGTACAACTAAAAATTGTACCTATACTATTGGTACAACCTTAAATTGTACCTACACTTTCTAACAAATCCCTTTATGGTACAACTAAAAATTGTACCTATACTAATGGTACAACTTTTAGTTGTACCTACACTTTTTCAAAATTCTTCTATGGTACAACCCAAACTTGTACCTATACCATGGTACAACTTTAAGTTGTATCTACACTTTCTAAAAATCCTTCTTTGGTACAACCCAAACTTGTACCGATACCATGGTACAACTTTAAGTTGTACCTACACTTTCTAACAAATCCCTTTATGGTACAACTAAAAATTGTACCTATACTAATGGTACAACCTTAAGTTGTACCTACACTTTCTCAAAATTCTTTTATGGTACAACCCAAACTTGTACCTATAACATGGTACAATTTTAAGTTGTACCTACACTTTCTAATAAATCCCTTCATGGTACAACTCAAAATTGTACCTATACTAATGGTACAACTTTAAGTTGTACCTACACTTTGTGAAACAAATTCTTCAATGGTACAGCTGAAACTTGTACCTATACGATATGGTACAACTCTAATTTGTACCTACACTTGTATACATTGATTCATTATTTACAAGATTGCCATTAATGATGTGGGACCAGTCATTTAGTGAGTTTACCTCCTCAACAGGTCACCTTTTTTTTTTGTTTTTTATAGCATGGGTGCTATAGAGCACACTAGAAGGGCTCCAGATGAAGGCTCTCCTCTATGATGTCTTTATCGAGTTTTGGGTTGATAAGGCCCGTGAAGATAGTGAGTTTGTTTGACGGTTTCCTAATTTGAAAATAGGCTGACATGGATTAATGTTGACATGGCGTTGATGTGTCTGCCACAACATCGTAGTTAACTGAGAATTGACGGATGACTAAGAATTGTTTAACAGAATCAGTTTTGGCTATTTTATTGCATTTTGGATAGTTTTGGCTATTTCTGTCTAAAACTTAAAACATTTGGCTATTTTATGGCATTTACCCTATAGTAATACTAAGGTGTAAACAGACGCGTGTGATGTGAGTGGATGGACTTTTCTTGTAGCTATTCTCTCTCATTTATTCCTCTTGAGATTTACAGTTACAAAAAGGTTCTACTCACATCACAAGTGTCCCTGTACATGTAAGTACACTGACAGAAGTAATCAAGGTTTTAGCTCATATCACGTCACGCCTACTTCTTTTTCTTGTCATCCTTGTCTCTGTCAAGTACGACGGGCGCGGCCGGTATGCTGAACCACCATTCCCTCATTCTCCTCGCACACCTCTCCGAGCTTTCTTTTCTTGACGGCGAGTGCCTTGTGGACACCTCCAGGAAACCCAACAGAAGTACCAACTTCAATGGCAAGATGGCCAGCACTAACCCCATCCCCAACAGCGCTGCTGCAAACTTATCGCTCGCCTGAGGAAAGACGGAAAGCAGTAGAGCTCGGACTTTTAGTAGGCCAATGTTGCCATCCTGGATCAGCTGCTCCACCTGGGAAATCGCATTCTGGACAGCGAGAAGCTGTTCCATTGTGTTCATTGGTGGTGGTGCTATTACCTTCAGTTCATTGACCGACTGCCCTCGGTTCAAAAACCGAGTAAGCAACATAAACACGGCCAGGGAAGCGAACATCAGTCCGGAAGCATAGCCCAACCAGTCCCTGAAGCACAACAACTGTGTTAGTGGAACAGCTCTTTCTCCATTCTATTACATCCCTAACTAGCTTGATATTTTCTTGACAACATAATCATTGAGGAGCTCAAATTTTTGAAACCGATGCACGTATACTGAGACAGACACCAAGGCATCGCCATTTTAAGACAAAAATGATAATCTTTTCAGAGTACAACCACTAAAAGATGTACGTTTAGTATATTTCTGCAATAGGTTTGGATCTGTCCCAGGAAACACTATAACAAAGCTAAGTAAAGCGAGAAACTTTTAGGAACCCAGGAGAAAATACAGGGGAGTTGAGGCGGCCATCAAGCAGACAGTTTTGACAACTTAACTTGATGACTGAGAAGCAAATGACTCAACCAGACTCTATAAGTTACCAGTTACCACCAACAGAAGAAATTATGAAATCTCTAGCAGCACTCGGTTGCCAGTTAACAGAAACTGCTACCAGCTCACTTGTGAACAGGCGACATCTTGCAGATCTGCTCCTCAAAGAACTAAACATGAAAGCAACTTTCTGCTCACCTCACCTCAGTTCTGATTCTGAATTGTTTTGCCATATACTGTGGCTGAATGTACATTTCGCATCATTCTTAAAAGGAGATTGGGCTAATGCACAGCTTACTGGAACATGTGACCCAAACACAAAAAGACTTCTGTCTGCCTAACTCGGAATACCCTAAGCCATATCACACTTTTATTACCCTTCAACATATCTCAGTACTGTCTTGGCATATCCAATGATCTAGAGAGTGAACCACCCAACCATCTGAGAAGTCTATTATAACGATGGTGAAAAGCATTGACTTTGCCAACAGCAGATATCCCGATTCTAGGAGTCAACAATTATGTCAAAAGAATGAAAACTTACCTCCAGATGACATAAGAAAAAAACAAGCAGAACAAGAAGGACTTCTTTGGGGCATCCCAATACAACAAGGAAAGAAGCCATTTCCCAACTTCCAAAACTGGGAGCAGAATGTCCTGCAAACATATGATCACAAGTCCTTTGGAGACATACGATAGAAGAAGAAAATGCCACAGGACATTATCTAATAACCTTGGATATGCAATTTGATGGGAAACCCTAGTAACAATATGATCATGCAAATTTATTTCTGATAATGTTAAAAAATAACAGATTTAACCATTTTATTAAGAAAAAAAATTGTACCACTATTCCAGATAATAAAAGTACAGCTGGCCTCACCTTCATGACGGCCAGATTAGTGTCAAGGCCGTCAACTTTAACCCCATCCACTGTTGCTTGAGCTACAACCACTTTTTTATAGCTGTCCTTTGATTCCCTGACTGACTTTTCCAAACAGCCCATCTCACCAACAGCTACCTCACCAACAACAAGTGCCGTCACATTAGGATCACTTGAAGTGGTACCAAAAACAAATCCCAAACCAGAAACCATTGCCAACGATGAGGCTGAGTACATTCTACCTCCATGCTTATGTTGGTTAGATAGCTCTACCAAGGACATATTTGCTAGAGTTCTTAGTATTAAATCCCCTCCGGGGAGTTGTTCACACAGATTAAACATGAGAATATCGTCATGGCAGACCAAATCTACAGAACTAAGTTCTTGAATGGCTTGTAATCGCAAGATTCCAAGCACAGCCTTTGAAAGAGCCTCATCCCTTGTAACTCCTAAGATCTGAAACTTTTTTATGAATTTGTGGACCAGTAAAATTTCACGGATAATTGCAAGCCAATAGTCACGGCGAGTATGTCCTTTAAGCTCAGGGAACTCTATAATAGCAGGTTCTGATCTACAAGCAAACCCAATTCAAAAGTCAGTGCCTGCTGCAGTATCTGAAGGCTTTTGCAGAAGTAGGAACCTTGCGCACTTTAAAATCCTCTATTTTCCACACCAATGAAGTAGCCAAAGCATAACTTACAATGAATTAGAACTGTAGAAAACTGCTTTGTCAAAGAGTCGAGTCCCCCATGGTCCAGTTAATTCAGGTTTAACAACTTGCTTCAAGTCTTCTGAAAGGTCATATACTTTCGGTGTGTCATAGGATACAACGCGAAGAGCTTCAAAGTACAAAGCATGATCTGTAAGAGTTAAACGACCTGCATGCACATGAAAATAAAGATGACAAATTACCAGGTACTACTCTGTGTTTTCTTTTATAAAAGTCACAATATAAGAGGATTTAGTCAGGTTCCAAACTTACCAGGCCAAGTAGATACGCCAACATGTTCAAGAACTGGTTGGGTGGTTACTGTTCCATCTACTTCTAGAATCCTCTCTCTTTTTGCAGATCGCACGTCAGCAAGAAGTGATGAATCCGATTGGGATTTCATTCTCTTTACTGCTCTGTGAGGAAGAATGATTCGAAGAATAAAAAATTGTGTTTCCATGAAGTGCAACATTAGCAAAATCAGTAGCAGCAAGCAGCATTAGGCTACAGGAAATCCATATATTGCGAAAGGGGGAAATGCTTTGCTTTCAGGTCCTCCTCCTCCAAGCCTCCTCAGGGAGTGCAGTTACTTAAATCGGTTCAACAAGTGACAATACGTACAGAAACTAAGAAGTGATAGAATCAATATTAAAACAATATAGGTACCTTTCCAATCCACTTAGGTACTTGTCAAAGATAGAAAACTGAAGTCGGTCATCAGTTGACACAGTCAGCACTTGAAAGAGATTTTCACTTATAACAACATTAGCGATGAGCGGAACTGCTGGAGCTATCCGCGAGAAGGCGTCAAGCCCAACTGTAGGGTCTTCATCTGCCTAAGAGACAAAGAGCAACTAAAACTTAGATCGACAGTTAGAACAACAGAGTACTAAGGGCTCTGTAATGTAAACTTTCTGGAGAATACACATGAGCCCAGAGTTTAAAAAAACACCAAGCAAATTCATAGGCATTAAGTCTGGGAGAGAGCGGAGAAGAGAGATGAAACAACACATGAAACCATATATCACATTTCAAAATGTTCCGCATATTAAGGCTCACTAGAGTAAGGACAGCAATAAAATGCTGCTACTGCTCATGCAAAGTACAAATATTCCTGTTTATTTAGAACATCATATGCAAGTCACAATCAGCATCATAGTCAGAGCTGAGAAGAGTCTGCTTCAGGACTTTTGGACAGTAAGATGCCTGCTACTAGTATATTGTACATGTACAGCATCAAAGAAAGTTTTATTGATTAGAGTGAAATATGCCCTAGAATCATTTGCACTTGCAATGCTGAAAACATACTACAATTCTCCAAGGGCTATAGCAACAGTCTCCTTTTCCACATTTTGCTGTTTCTTGCAAGTTGCAACTATCTGTTTCATGTGGCATTGTTCTCCAGATACTAGTACTAATTCCTACTTTCGCTCCCAAACAAATCTCTGTCTAGCTTTCCATTTTATTTAAAGTCCTGTCTGCTTTCAGTCTCCTCCCGGTCATCAGCCCATTTGTATCATGTTTACCCATCAAATTGTAGGAAACATGTGCCTTCCTGCCAGTTCAGAACCTACATTAACTTAAGTCATCGTAAATAATTGGTACCATGTTCTACCCATCAAATTGTAGGAACATTAACTTAAGTCATCATAGTTTGATGAACAGAAACCTATAATACTTGGCCAATAAAAAGGATATTTGTGTATATATATTAATGTCAGGATGTAAAAATTGTAGGATGGCCTGAAGCCAATTCTTTTGGATTATCATATATCTTTCTTTATGAAGGACCTGGAGTAAATTACAATTACTACTCCATTCATTTTCAGTGATCCCGAAGAAACGGCTATATATTTGAGGTGTTCGTGGATCCGACACTACCCCTACACTAACTGAGGATGAAGAGAATTCAGGTGAAACAAAATATGAGGCGAGAGAAATCATTTGTGTAAATGTAGAGTCTGAAGATGAGGATGTGTAAATGTAGAAGCTGAAGATGAGGATCACAAACTTTTGCTAGAGTAGCAAATAGTTCAAAGTATCAATTGTTAACTGCCTGCTTGTGTTGGATTTTGTTTCCCCCAATAGTTGAAATGCTTTCGTCTACATTACTTTACATTGTCATTGTGTGCTTTGTTTATCGTGGCCTACCTTGAAGTCCACCACTACTCCAAGGATCTAAAGCTTCAAAGAAGAACTCAAGATTTCACAGTAACGTTTATTACTTAATATAAGAACTACACCTATTTTGTGTTTCAGTATGCTCACTTGAATCTAATAGATGCCTATGCATAAGATGATGTACATAAATTGACAAAGTTTCCACAAGTGCAGTTACAGCATGCCAAAAGATAAGCACTCTTAAGTACACCTTAAGTGTTGAAGCTTACATTAGGCAGGGGTTGACTGGAAGCAGCTGGAGCCTCCCAAGCTAACATCATATCATATGCCAATCGCCGGAACTTCTTATCACCCAGGTGACCTACTACCTGGATGGACACAGCCAGTGTCCTGAAGCAACAGTATTCCAAGAAGTTCCTGGCATAGCGAGATGGGTGTTTTATGGAATCAGAAGCTTCTGCATTGAAACTTTCTTGGAGGCCGGTTGGTGAAGTTTCAAGAATTCTGCAGCATCCATCGGAGACAAAAATACAAGTAGAGGAAACATGGGTTTACATTTCCCACTAACAGCTAGGTTATCAACAACGAAAGCTTAACAGCAATGGGGTATTTTTACTTGGCTATATATTGGAGAACCCCATCGCTAAGAGCAGAACAGAGAGGGAAAGAGAAGTTCTGCACTTACTTGGAACATCTACGAACGACCACATTAGCAAGTGGAGATAGCTCTGCAATCCTGTTACTATTAGCATAAGGTGACCTTCCCATTTCCTCAAAGTCTTCATCAAAGTAAGTCCGCTTCCCAAGTAACCATTTAAAAGATCCATCTTTTACAAAACCTTCAAGCATATTTCTAGTCTTGCTTGCTTGCTGCAGCCATATTAAAAAAACTAGTGTATTGAGAGGAAGAACCGAGAAACCCTGTAACTAATCACTTGTTACACCTGATGTGACTTGTATTGCAGATAAGACATGGCAAATCTTCACAGATCAAAAGAACAAAGTATTCCTACAGAAAAGAAGTGTTGTCTAAACCATCAATCAACAGAAAGTAAAGTAACTTCAACTCAAGATATTTACAATTCCCTAAAATATGTTAAACCCACGTCAACTCGACATGGACAACCAGAGTTGTATAACTACGACCTCTATATATATATGTTAAGCATTCATTTCATGAAAACCAAGCAAAAACACTAAACGATCAAGCAAGACAACATTAAAATGGACCTGCGGGAAATATTTTGTACATCTTCCTGATGCTTCACACTAACTTAACATCTGATTCTGTGCTTCAATCAATAACGATGATGGAAAGGGAGACAATGAAGAAGACAAGACACAGGGATTTAAGTTTGTAGATATGACTAGAGTGGAAGAAAGCAGCAAGCAAATAAATTCACAAAATTAAACACGGATTTCATATCAAACGATAATTCCAAGAATGATAACTTGCACAAATTTCCAGGATGCAGAATCGAGTTAACCTTCCAACAAGTTGGCATTTGAATTTTTCACAGAGCATTTCTTGAATAGTGCTATGGGTGAGAATCAAGTAGTAATATGACATTTGATCCAACAAACATTTAGTTCTGGCAGCCATGATAGGAGGAGCTCAACCATCCCTCGCACCACTTGGTAGCAATTTAGGGCAGGTGAAGTAGACCACAATCGAAGTACCATTTCGAACCCAACCCAGTTTCATAAGGTTGATTCCAGAAAATCATTTCAACTTACATCAAATTATAACATTCCACAACATTTCGTTCAAGAAACAAGGAACGGCCATGGATTCAAGTTCGTCGAAGAAGAAACCGGAAGGATGAGGAAGACAGAAGGGACCAGTAATAACCTTCTTTTCCGCCGTGAATCCGGACGAGCAGGGGCAATCTTTCAAGGAATACAGCTGAGATTGAGTTGGATGACTGGAGATGATGGAGAGGGACAAGGGCAGAGAAAGAATGAGCTCGACAAAAAGCAGAGAAGAAGAGGCAATTTCATACGTCGAATCGCATTGATTCTGTCGTGAATTGGGCGGTTGGGTTTATCGGGAAAAGGAGCGAATGCTTCGTGAAACAGAGTTCACATTCACACTATGTTTGGCAACAAGGGGGTGCAAGTTCGAGGGAGGTGCAAGTTGAGGGGTAAATTGTTGGGGGGTGCAACTTGGTGGAGGGTGTAAGTGGAGGGGTAAATTGTTGTTTGGATGAAAAAGTAGGGGGGTGCAAATAGAGTAAAAAGTAAATAATTATATTATTATAAAATAGATTTATCAATTTATAAAATATTATCACAAAATAATAACATGAAAATTCAATATATAATAATAATAATAAATAATAAATAAAAATAATTTTAATAAAAGTAATTATTATATAATAATGCTCAAATATAATTATTTATAATAATAATAATAATCATTGGTCGAACAACCTCGAAACTCGAAATCCAACTCGTAACTGGTCATCCTAAGGGGGTTCTCGTGTCTAACTTTAAATTGAATATGGTCAAACTTAGTCAAACACGTTCGAATCTATAAGTTTTAACTACTTATTAAAGTAAATCGAGTTAACTAAACTGTTCCTCTCTATCTTTTCAACAAACGCTTCTTATCTCTAATTTTCAATGCAAATTCGGGTCAATTAAGAGATATCGATTTGACTAGGCGAACATTGACAAACTTGCTCTCCGAGTCAAATGGTCAACCCCAAACAACTTCTACACTAATATAGATATAAGAAAAAATTAATAATATTAATTATTATGTAATTATAATCTAATTAAAAATCCATAATTCCCCTCCTCCCCCTTCCCCCTCCCTTCCTTCCTTCCCTTGCACCCCAATTTGGGGGGTAAGCCGAAATAGTGAATTTACGCTCACGTTTTGCACCCCCCTACTGTTACAAAATAACCAAACGGGGGTAAACACCTTGGAACTTGTGTTTACCCCCCAAACTTGCACCCCCTTCCATTTACCCCCCTTCCCAAACATAGTGTCAATGTGTGTGTGAGAGAGGGAAAGAATGAGAGATCTCGGCTGGGTATTTTGCCTTTTTTTTCCGCCTTTAGAGTTTAGTGATGTGGTAGTTTGGCGAAAGTTAGGCTGCTAATCCAACGTTGTTAAGTCAGATTGTCCCATCATTCCGGTCAAGCAATTGGTTTTCGAGTGAGTGGTTGAACCGCGGGTCAATACAGATTCAACCCAGTTATTATTTTAATGCATTGAATTAGGGGGTGGGCATTGGTTCAGTTTAATTCGGTTCGAATTTGATTCGGGTGTTGAGTGTTTTGGGAATCCGGTATACTTCATTTCAGTTCGGTTTGGACCTAACCGATGCCCACCCCTAGTTCAAGACATAAATACTAACTGGGTTGAATCTGAATTGAACTGCTGTTCAACCACTCACTCGAAAACAAATTGCTTGACCTGACCCTTTCGGTTTGAAATTCCGACCAAACCCGAACTTCTGATCCCCCATTTGTTTCCCACTCTCTCTTCGCATTCTCTAGCTCCTAACTAATTCCTTCCCACTTTACTCCCTCTCTATTTCTCTCTTCTTTTTCCCCCTCTATCTGCACAACATCAAAACCACAAAAGTATATCAAAACCATGCTCCGTCCATTTGCATATCAGGGGCCCCATCCAACCCCTTAACTCATTCACCCTCGTCGTCACAAGAACTCTTAGAAATAGGAAGGGAAGCGGCGTGAAGAGTCTTGAAATCCAAACTGAACATTGCAGTCGTCCGTCACCGCCTTCGTTCCCCACTCTCCGTCGGACGAATTCGAAAACAGGGAAGCCAGATCAATTAGCCTATTCAAGGAGACTCGGATACAGACCTTGAGGATCTTTTAGGTCGGAGTGTGACTTCGGATCCCGACGATGACGAGAGATATGGTTGCGAGTAGGTGTCTGAGTGATGGGTCACAACGTCACATTGTAGAATTTGATCTTCAAAGTTGATCGATTCCATTTCTCAAACACGGCGGCGATGGTGGTGGAGGCCTTTGCGGGAGTTTCCTGCGGTTGCTACTTGAGAATCGTAGGGTTAGGAATGTTGGTCAATGAGATTGAAGAGAGTGGGCTTGGGCTGTGTGGGTACATGGGCTATGCTTCTGTGGGCTCCTTTTGTTATTTCAATTTTCGGTTCGGATGTTTGAAAATTGGGCTCGGTTGTGTAGACCCTGGTTTCCGAAATATGACTTTTCTCCTTCCGAATTCAGAACCTAGTAGCATCAATTTTGGGTTTGGTCGGTTTCGGTTCGATTTAATTCAGTTTGGAGAGTTAAACCCGAACCGGATGCCACCCTACCTTGAACCTTAATAAATCAGTCCACTTTGAGTAAACCCTAGAGAAGCAAACCCAATTTCTAGAAAATAGACTACCCAGAATCCTTTCCAATTCATCGTCCTCTTCTCTAGCCATTCCAAGTAGCATCAATATGCGTTTCTCTCCCTCTCCCTCCTTGACTCGTCCCGAGTATCACAATTAATGCCCGCCTAAGGTCCAAGTATAAACCTTAGTAAGGTGCATTATAGGGCAAGTATGTTTAAATATCGACTCGGGTCGGTCCGTGTACCCCTACTTCAATTGTTTGAAACATTATCTAGTGAATTGATTTTTGTTGAAAAGATTGCTAATTAAAGTAAAGCAAGGCGAAAGTAAATGATTTTTGAAAGCTCTATGTGAGAAGGATCACTCGGGTGTCGCTTCCCCCTAACTACTACCATGGCACGAGGAATTGAATTAATTGTTACGAGCTAGGTGACCGCGAACCGCTAGGAAACGCAACTATGGTCGTAGACCACACTCTAGTTTGCCAAACCAAGGGATACATTTTAGGCTACTCAAGTAGCCATCTTGGTTAAGGCAATCGATGGTTGACTTACTCTCTCACTCAACCCAATGGTTGGTCGGCTTAATCGTGCTTAACCAGATTGCTTAATTCAACATAGATGTATCCCATACATTAACCTAGATAGGTGGCTTAAAAAGCCCAAGGAATCCCCACTCAATTGAGCCTCACTTGAAAGGCGATTTTTCCTCTAATCTAGGTTAGAATGGCCAATTGGATTGCTAAGCACAAACATGCACAATCAACATGAAAAGTACCTCAATCATTGAATTAAACAACACCCATAAACAATCATTCAATTCACACAACAACTACATGGCAAATAGTTAGGGTTTCACAACACCCAAGTGAAAAAGGAAACTACTACATGCTAGAAAGGGGAAGAACACAAGAGGAAGAGGTAAAAACCATCATGGTGATGCCTTTAATCTCCTTTGAGCTTGTGTTAATCTTCTCTTGGGGAAAATCTTCCCAATCCACCACTTGGAGCAAACCCTAGCCTTCTTTCTTCCTTGGTTCGTTCTTTCTCTCTCTAAAATCTGAAGAAGAAGAAGAAGAAGACACTTTCTCACTCTTGGCTCTCCCTTCTCTCTTCATTTTAGCTCACATAATATATCAGGATCGGGCTCAGTTCACGGCCTCAGTTCACAGCCGTGAAATCTTCAACGCGTCCGTGAACCTAGAGCGCGATGTCGAAACGCACCGCTTCGCCATCAGGAGTTCACGGTTTGGCCTCAACCTTCACGGTCTTGTTGACCGTGAACTCGTCCCGCGATAGTAACTGCAGATTTCTCCCTGGACGCATCGCATTTAACGGTTTTGGGCTTCAGTTCACGGCCATAGTGGACTGTGAACTCCCGTGCTAACCCATGAACTCCGTCTGGATCACCTTCTTTGCCCGGTTTTCGCCTCTTTTCGTCCAACTTTCGACTTCGGGGCTAGTTTCACCTGTTGGATCCTGAAACACACTAAAACGCACAAAACCTAGCGTAAAAGCACCCTTTTAGGAGTCCAAATGCTACAAACGCCCAAGGAAAACGAGGATAAAATGTGTGCAATTAGGCCTGTATCACTCCTCCCAAGCTGCTTTTTGCTCTCTTTCCCGCCAACAGCGCATGAGGTCGATCTCCAAAAAAAGGATACCACAAATATTTTCTTCCCATTAGTATTCCTCTCCTTCTCGACCTCCGACAACCTTCAGTAACTTCGATATGCTCTTCTCTGTCTTCCCCATCCTTCGAGTTGCTTTTCTCTCTCTTTCTCCATCAATGGCAGAAGTAGCATGGCAACGGATCGATGTTAGCAATTTCTCTTTCTAGTATTTCCTTGTATGGAGGAAGGTGGGTGGACGATATGTAATTCGGGATAATCATACGATATGCTTCTATATTTTCCTTTCCTCCTCTCTCTCTCTCTCTATGGAGGAAAATGGGGGACAATCTAGTTGACACGCTATGACACAACACCAAACTGCGACCAAGTATAATCGCAGTATGGAAATGCATAATACTGGTAAGTTTAATTTATCAACCCGGGGTCTAGATCTACTGCCTACTCCGTGATTATCTATTATCTAGCGGGACTAAGTTTAGTGAGAGTGATTGTAAACAAAAGTAGTAAGAAAGCAGGAAAGTGTTCGGTTTTCAAAAGCAAGGGGAGAGTCACTCGGGAATGAGTCCCCTAGCTCCTTAATTAGGTTCCAGTTGTAATTTTCTTTGGGTTGATTACTGTTGATTAAACTGCGAAAGATCCGACAGTAGCTTGAAATCTCTTAAGCTGACCAAGCCCTCTCAGATAGACTACCCGGCAGACGACTAGTCTTCACCGGGATAGAACACTAAGGCAATTAACACAAAACTCCACTACTGGAATTGGATTATAGTACAAAGTAATGGATTGACTAACTCTCGTATAGTCAATCCACTCCTATCAATTGAAGAAGCTCTAACAACCTAATCAAATTCTATCTATCTCAGGTTGCAGCAGAAATCAAGAGAATTTTATCAGGATCCAATTGACTCAATAAACATGCTTCAATAGATTATAATCAAATAGTATTTCAATCCAAAAGTCATTACAACTCAAATCCCTAACACATGGAACTAGGGTTCTTCATACCCAAATGAGAGAAAGGTCTACTCCATAGAGAGAGAGAGGAAAACAGAAATCAAAGCAGTCATACTCATAAAGATGGGAATAATCTGCTCTGGGATGTCGATCTTCACTCATTGGGATGAAATCTGGGCTTCAGTGGTGAGAAATCCTCTCTAAA